TATTTTTCTTTAGATACACCAAGAGTATATGTGTCCAAACACACTTGGGCAATAAAGTATTGTAGTCTAATTCTATTCCCCGACTCAGCAATGAGAGCGGCTTATGTTAAGGTTTCCAGAGAGCCTAGAAACCGTAGATTATAGGATGATAAAAATCAAACAGTCTGATAACATAACAAGAACCAAAACTGCAATTTGAAAAAAATCTCGTTTTATCTGGAAAGATGAAAAGATCAGTCTCACAGTGACCAAATGTCTCTCAAAAGCAAATCCATATACTTATACAGTATGTATAAAGAGACCTTCACACAGTTTTAAATAATGATGCATTGGGAAAAGATATTGAAACAGCCTAAGCAAAAAAAAAAAAAAAAAAAAGTTTTAGATAGTTAACTGCCAAAGTTTAACAAGTTAAAAAGAATAGTTTCACAGAGATTGTAAATGAACATAATCCCAGTTGCTGCTTTGTAATTGCTTGTGCCAGGGTGATCCTCACCCTAATTTCTCTCTCTCTCTCTCTCTCTCTCTCTCACACACACACACACACACACACACACTCAGACACACAGACACACACACCACTTTTATATCTATATCTATTCTTTGTTCTTTTTTGTTGATTTCTTCTGTTTTCGTTCTGTTGTTAAGGAAAAAAGGGCAAAATAGAAGGGGCATTGGTCTTACCTGATACACTCCTTCTCGGTGTGCTGAGAGAGAATCCAAGCCATGGCATTAGCTCTGCTTCTCTGCCTGGAGACTGAGTCTGTCAATCTTCTTGACACACTTCCCTTGTCTGGCGGTTGCCAAGTTTCGATGAAGGCATAGCAATTGACGAGTCCTATTACCTGTGTTAAGCCCCTCCTAGACCCTGGACCAGACAGTCGTCAGGGTGGGGTTGGATTCTCTCTCAGCACACCAAAAAGGAGCGTATCAGGTAAGACCAACGCCCCTTTTCCAGTGTGCTGAGATAAAGAATCCAAGGAATGAGATATACCAAAGCCAGCTGTCCTAAGGGCGGGTAGCAGTCTGATCCTGGGTCACCAAATCTATAAGCATCTTCTGGAGCATCCTTATGCTGAAGGCCGCCTCCGCTGAAGCGAAGGCGTCCGGCTTGTAGTGCTATACAAATGGGAATGGAGAGGAACATCGATAGAGGCCTGTGTTGCCCATGCAGCTGTCGTGGCCGCGCTTATGGTGGAGTGTGCTGTCACCCACCGAGGCAACGGAAGAGCCTGGAGCTCCTAAGCCTTGGCGATGCATGCCCGTATCCACCTGCCTATAGTCGAAAGAGTGACCTTCTTGCCTAGTGTAGAAGGTTGGAAGGACATGAACATAGATACCCTCTTCCTGATAGAGGAAATCCTCGTAATATATATGTGGAGGGCCCTCTTAACGTCCAGGGTGTGCCACTTCTTCTCCAGGGCATGAGTGGGGCACAGGCAGAAGTCTGGCAATATTAGTTCCTGAGCCCTATGGAACCAGAAATTCACCTTGGGAACCAAGGAGGGGTCCAACCACAAGATCACCCTATTGGGGTGAAATATACACAGGTCCTTTCATATAGAGAGGGCCGCCAGTTTGGAAATTCATCTGGCTGACATGATGGCTACCAGGAAGGCCACCTTGCAGGAGAGGAAGTACAGGCTGGCTGATCTTAGTGGCTCAAAGGCCCCGATGAGAGATTGCAAGACTTTGGGCAGGTCCCAGGTAGGGTACCTGTGCACCACAGGAGGTTTTAAGTTCATTGCACCCCTAATAAACTTGCGCACCATAGGGTGTTGTGCAAGGGACCCCAGATCTCTGCACAATAAAATCGAGGACAGGGCTGCCACCTGTTTACAGATAGTGTTGCAGGATAGGCCCTTGTCTAGTCCTTCCTGGAAGAACTCCAGAATCTGGGTTAATGACATAGATGTGGGAACAATGTCTGCCCTGAAACACTAGTCACAAAAGGCCTTCAAAGTGGCATCGTGTATCCTATTGGTAGAAGGCCTCCTAGAGGCCTGTATGGTCCGAATCACTCTGGAGGAAAATTTTTCCTGACTCAGGACTCTCCACTCAAATTCCAGATGATCAATTGGAGCCATTGTGGGTCCAGATGGGCCAAGGCCCCCTGGCTGAGGGAGATTCTGTCCTGAGGAATCCTCCATGGCCGGGCCACCGACAGGCTGACCAGGTTGGCAAACCATGTTCTTCTGGGCTAGTGGGGGGCCAGGAGCAAGATCTCTGCATCCTCCATCAGTACATTCTTAATCCCCCCCAGAATGAGAGGAAGGGGGGGAATTTATAGCAGCCTTCTGGGCCAATGACTGTGGAATGCATCAACCCCCTCTGCAAAAACCTGGTATAGAACCTGGGTACCTGGCTGTCGGATGGTGTAGTGAACAGGTCCATGACCGGAAGGCCAAAACACTCCATCAGCTCCTTGAATAGGGACGGATGTAGGTGCCACTCTGAGTGGTCGACTGTGGCTCTGCTGAGCCAGTCCGCCTACATGTTCTCCACCCCCAAAATGTGTTCTGCCCTGAGGAACAGAAGGTGTCTCTCTGCCCAGAGGCCTAATTGTTCAGCCTCTTGCATGAGGGCCCTGGAATGGGTGCCCCCTTGGGAGTTGATATGGGCCTTGGTGGCCACATTGTCTGTTAAGATGAGGATGTGCCGACCAGACACCTTGTCTGGTACCGTCTGAGGGCCAGGTGAGCTGCCCTGAGTTCCAGCCAGTTGATGTTGTGTCCCCTGTTCACCTGAGTCCACTGCGCCTGTGTTATCAGGGTCTGAAGATGGGCCCCCCAACCAAAAAGGCTGGCATCCGTAGTGACGGCCAGGCAGTTGGGCTCCTTGAAGATGCAGCCTCTGGTGATGGCCCATAACATCCACTACTGGAAGGACTGGAGCACCCCCGGTGGGACTCAGACCTTTGCAGGGGAGTTGCTCCTGCCAGACCATTGGTAAGGAAGGAGGAACTGTTGCAAAGATCTAGGGTGCAGACGTGCCTATGGGATGATGGATATGTAGAACACCATCTTCCCCAGGAGCTGTGAGAGTGAAGCAATGGGCACTATCTGCTCCCTGTGGATACAACTTTTTTTTTTAAATTTGATTTATATGCCGCCCTTCTCCGAAGACTCAGGGCGGCTTACAATGTGCTCAGCAATATGCTCAGCAATAGCCTTCATCCTTTTGTATATTTATACAATGTCAGCTTATTGCCCCCACAAACTGGGTCCTCATTTCACCTACCTTTGAAAGGATGGAAGGCTGAGTCAACCTTGAGCCTGGTGAGATTCGAACCCTGCAGTAATTGCAGACAGCTGGTCTTAATAACCATCTTAATAACAGGGTGCCTTAAACCCCTGTACTACCAAGGCTCTTGCTAATGACTTTAGGCTTGTCTGGCGCTCAGTAGATAGATAGACCTTGCACAGACTTGTGTCTATGACTGCTCCCAGGTGCAGCAAATGGTTGGGGGGGGAGACAGGTGGTTCTTGTCGATGTTGATCGAAAATCCGTGGTCCTGGAGGACCCAGATTGTGATCTGAAGATCCTCCCTCGTCTAGGGCCAGAGGAGGATTGAATTAGGATGTCGTCCAGATAGCACTGGACACACACGGGAAGTGTCTGGAGGTGCACTGCCAGCAGTTTGGTAAATGTCCTGGGCACTGATGATAGGCCAAATGGCAGGGCCTGGTAATGGTAATGCCTGCCCATGTAGTGGAACTGAAGGAACTGCTGGTGGGTTGGCAAGATCGGCACGTGGAGGTATGCCTCCTTCAGGTCTATTGACGTGAGGAAGTCGCCCTCTCAGATGCTCTCCAGTATAGACTGGAAGGACTGCATTTTGAACCTTTTGTAGATGAGGTGATGGTTCAACCTCTTCAGGTCCAGAATTGTTCTTCACCACCCTCCCCCAAGGTCTTCGGGATCACAAATAAAATGGAATAAAATCCCTGCCCCTGTTGGTCTTCTGGGACTGGTTGAATGGCCTGGATATCCAATAAATGTTGGATTGCTGCCTCCATGAGGCCTCTTTTTATTGTATCCTTTGATATGGGGCAACATATAAAGAAACTCGGGGGTGTGGAGAGAAATTCTAAAGCAAAACCGAGTCTCACCATATTCAAGACCCAGGTGTCTGTTGTAGTTGCCCCCCATTGATGGGTGAATAGGCTTAGGCAGCCACCGATGGGAGGGCTGGATCTGCAGTCATCTGGAGCAGTGAAAGGGGTGACTTCCTGTGCCACGAAATGGCTTCTTGCCCTGTGATTGTTGTTGGTTCCAGAATCTGGCTATGAGCCGGCATGAGGAAGAGCTCTGCAGGGACTTCAGCTGCTGTTCGAGCTGGTAAGGCTGCTTGCTGGCAGATTGGGAAGCCAGCCATGTGAAAGTCTTTCCAGTAAAAGTCAACCTGATAGCGCTTATTCTCATGGTTGTGCTGTTAGAGAATCCAAGGAAATATGGTTATGTGTAGCTGTTTCTCCTCAAGTGTCTCTGCTGGGCGAAAACTGAGTTGAACCTGAGCAACCACCAGATAAGGGAGGCATGTCAAGAAGACTGACAGACTCAGTCTCCAGGAAGAGAAGCAGAGCTAACACCCATGCCTTGGATTCTCTACCTCAGCACATTGGAGAATGGTAGATTTTAAAACAATAATGTATTTACAAATACTTCATATATCTCTGAAATATATTTAAAACCTATATTCATGAATCCAGGAATCACACAATAATGTGATAGGTTTCTATATCATTCAAGAGAGAATGACATAGCAGAGTGTATACAGAAGTGTTCTATAGCAATACTAGGAGCGTTTAGCCAAGTGTTTAGCTCAATACACAAACTTAAGCTGAATTGACTTAGACTTCCAGAATTCTTCAGCCAGAGTTGAAGTCCACCCATTGCCAAGACTGAAAAACAATGGTTTAGCCTATCAATGATGGTTGTCTCCCAAAGGCCGCAAGACTTCAAAGAATACCAATCCCTAGTGTAAGCTGCATATTTACCTGAATAGCTTGGCGGCCCTGTTGTGCATCTGCTAGCAGCTGAATAGTAAGAGTTCTGGAGTCCTGCAAAGCTTCTTGGAGGTAGATAAAGCTATGGCCGACATGGCGTCCCATGGTGCATTCCCGACAAATGGGAACAGAACAAGCATCACAGTAGAAATGCAGCACCTGAGACAGAGAGAGTATTGAATAATATGCACGTCAACAGATGATGTAAGATTTATTTGTTTTAAAAGCCATTTCCTAAATGGGCAATCTGTAAAGTACACTGCAGAGGGGACAATAGAAGTTCCTTTTTGTTTTAATTCAAGGTTACGAGAATAACTTTTTTCTTTTGGTTATATCTTTCTTTATAAACCATATACTTCGAAGTGTCATTAGATTTATACAATTCCTTCCGGTTAAGCTCTTAATTTACTGTTTATTTAGATAAAATGTTTTGGTTAACCATCCTCAAACAGACTCCAGGGGACTTTCCCAAAATATGGTGTCAAGGGATTAACTGATTTATTCATCAGCGAACTACAAAGCTCTTTTCACATTTCATCCAGCAGAGGGAAGCAACAGAGAGCTGGGAGTGCTTCTCATTTAGGTATTTTTTAAAAACTCCATGTTTACACCATCTTTTACTGCTCCAGAACAGTTTTGATATGTTTATCTCTGTAGAACACAAGTAGTTCAAATTACAAGAAATGTAATACTATAATTGTGTTCTATAATCATGTAAAATAGTGTGGCATTCATTATTCCTATTTTCTTGGCATATTCATTATTCTGTAAAACTAACCATGATATTAAAATATTCCAATTTAACAAATCAATGTCTAACAATCAATCAACAAAAATCATGAGTTTCAGCATTAATAAAACTATATTTGAATATTACTTCCAAAATCAAAGTTTAGTGTCCCTTTCAAACAAAATGGATACATAGTGTACATATCCAAGCCTATTAGAAGAATATTGGGCAATTCAATTAATTACTTAATCATGCACACATTAAAATTCACATTACAAAAGTTGAGTATCCATAAGCTAAAACTTTTTTTTTTAATGAAGACCATGAATCTGTAGAGTCAGAAATAACTATCAGTGTTACTATTACCTGGGATCCCATAAAATTCAACATTTATTCTTTGGCAGAGCATAGCAGCATCATTTTTATTTGCTATTTGATTGCATTTTATTTCCAAATGTAAGTGTGCTCATTTTTTTAAAAAATCCTACACAGAAAAAAAAATCCTAAAAGCACAGAAAGAAACTCATGCAGGCCACCAGTATAATATCACAGTTGTTGTGGTAGTTAGAAAAATCTCTCCCCCCCCCTCGGTTTAAAGGGGCCAGCAACCACAAAGAAAATGGTGTCAATATGAGCAAGAACTCTGCTTCAAAGTAAACCCACTATTAACCCTCTGAAACAGTTAATGCCAGAAGCAAAGCTAGGTCAAAGGCCAGAGAGCAGTGCTGTCATGCAGATCCAGATGCTACTTTCCACAGGGATACAATGTAGAAGTCAGTGCACACTAGCCACAAAAGAGAGGAAAAAGTAATCAAAACAATTAATAGATCGTTAGAGAAAGGCCTCTAGTTCAGCTGACTATACCTTAAAAAATGGTTTGGTAGCAGTGAGAACTACCTAATGACAAACAAATCATTTTTTATTATAGAATATAAAACTGATATGCAAAAAATGTTTTTAGTATTTTGAGAATACAACTGATTTAACAAGTGAAATTGTAAAAATTTCTACCGAAACACTAGGTTGCCAGAAGAATCATTAATGAAATGAAGAGCCAGTCTTTCCTCTCACTAGTTGTGCTAACAGATGTTGATGTTAAGATATGGTGAAGTAAAAGATGATCTTTGAATTGCCTTTGTCATGTTCAAACTGGTTGGTAGACTTTTTAGTAGCATCTCTCCATTACTAAAGAAAATAATAATAACTCCATCTGTACTGTTAGTCCTTGAATTACTGTTAGTCCTTGAATTACAACTGTAATGGAGTCTGTCCATTAGGGTCGAAGTCACGACAAACATTAAATGAACTGCCTCAAGTAATGACCAGCTATCACTATCACTGCTCGTTAATTGAATATGTGCATCATTAAGTGAAGCCTCAGGGGTGGGTGAAGCCCCTGGGAGGCCTAGTGCCAAGCAAGCCCACCTGCCTAAGGCATCTAAGGGCTCTCTCAATCCCTGAGATATCCCATGCTATCCCCATGAAGTCCTAGCTGGATCCTACAGGCAGTCAGGAAAATAGCTAAAAGTTTTGCAAGTTGCCAGCTTCTATCCTGTTTTTGCTGCATATGGCTAAACTTTCTGAGCTGATTTTTTTTTTTCTGCAGCTGCTCAAGTCAAAAAGCTGCAAAAAGAGTTTCTTTGCTTGCTTCCTTTCTCTTCAGCCTGGAATCAAGGCAAGGTTTTTAAGAGGAATATTGATTGGAAGGCAGAGATGGGGAGTTTAGTTTTAGCACCTAAATTTTGGAGGGGGTTGAAGGAGAAAGATCAAGAAGTCTTTCCCTTCCAGCTTTGTTTTCTTTATTGAAGAAATATGGCTTTTTGGGAGGGAAGGGAGTTAAAGCTAGGGGAAGCTTTTGGGAAACTCATCCTGAAGCTGCTGCCTTAGCATGCAAGAGTCCGGTTTCCCAAAGCCTACAAGAGCCAGTGGTTTGCAGCTGATCTGGGCAGAAAGCTCTGAAAGCAGCCTTCATTTTCTGTAGGAAATTGCCAAAGTAAATGGTGGCTGCTTCCAGAGGGCATGGGTACCAGGCCCAAGCACTGAGGTTGTGTCAAAGTGGGAATAGAAGAGAGGTGGGGATGCTGCAGCATCTCCATAGTCGGTTGTATGGGCAAATAGGAGTGATGCAGCCATTGTAATTTTGAAAGAGGACAATATATGTAGTTTGGGGGTGTCTGTAATAAGTTTGAACTGACCTGTCTTATCTAGAGGACCACCAGTACTGCCCTTTGTCAATATGGACCTACCAATGGGCAGAACCAGTGACATGAGATAGGAATTATAGTCCAAAAGTCTGCAAGGTACCAGTCTTTATAGTTGTACCTGCCTACAGTGACATAACAAACTTGTGCCTTTTCTTGCCTTTGTTCAATATACTTCCATATTTGGGTGGTGGTAATGGTTGTGTAATAATACTTAATAATACTTAACTACTTATGTTAAAATGCATGAAATATCTACTGGCTATTGTCCTATAAAAATGTATTCTGTCTATCTGCTGTCATATAATATTAAGTAGTAGTACAATACTAAGTGCTTGCCAACACTTCTCCTCCCAGCTGTTACTTGCCATGTCCTCTGACTAAGAATGTGCAGTTCCACTTTGACTGACAGCAGCTTTTCACCCACAAAAAGGAATTCAACCTAACTGGTATTTTGTTCTGCTTAACAGCATTCTCTCAACTGGTCACTTTTCCAGTTCACCTAACCATGGTTTATCAAATAAATTACAACAGTGGATATTTATTCATTATTTAAAATGTGCTATGTGTCAATTGCTAACTGGATTGTGCCTTCATTTGTTCCCATTTGTTGCAGAGATGAGCAAACCAGATTCTATTCACAATACAATACCTTTCCAGCAGAAAACTAATTCTGCATCATAGAGTATTCCAAGGTTATTCAAACTTTTGCAAGGAACTTTTAAAAAAATAATGGAAGATTCTGATTAAAAAGTGAATTTATCCTCTCATAAGCAATTTGCTACTTCTCTATGTCCTGGCCAAACTGTGGTTGTTATTCACAGAAAATAAGAAAATAATTAGGTATGACATATTAAGGCTATTTGCAACACTTAAACAACATGAAGTTGCCCAATTATTTCTGATGTAATAATATATTTCTATGTTTGTTTGTTTGTTTGTTTATTTATTATTTATTATTTATTTATTTATTTATTTATTTATTATTTATTATTATTTATTTATTTATTTATTTATTTATTTATTTATTTATTTGTGTCTATTTCAATAGAAGACACAATCTGGACAAGGTGATTAAATAGGGTAATTATTTAGACAGGCAATCACTACAAGTAGTACTCAATTTACTACAATTGGTAGTATTTCTGGTGCTAAGTGAGACAGTTGTTAAGTGAGTTTTGCCCCATTTTACAACTTTTCTTGCCACAGTTAAATGAATAACAGCAGTTATTATGTTAGCAACAAAGTTGTAAAATGAATCTGGCTTTCCCAGGGACATTGCAACTATCATAAATACGAATCAGTTGCCAAGCATATGAATTTTGATCATATGATCATGTGAAAAACAGTCATAACTCGTTTTTTTCAGTGTTGTAACTACTAACAGTCACTATATGAATGGTTGTAAGTCAAGCCTATAGCAGGAATCCTATGGCTCTAGACAAGACTGTCATGTCAAACAAAATCCCAAAAAAAGGCAATGAGAAACCCATTTGTACTAGATGTCGCCATACAGTTACTAGGATTCAAACTGTTTGGAATGCAAAAGAATGACATTTCTAGGGATAGTGGGTGAAAAAGACATAATAGTTACATTATAAAATGGGGACAGCACAAAAACAAGAACTGCTACATGCAAGAAGCCCGCTTATTTGTTTAAAGGCTGGTTTTAATTAAAAACTGCACTTTGCAGGTCATTCATGGAACATTCCTAAATCTGACTCCCAGATGATATTGGTCCATCTAGCCAATGTCTACTTAGTTACTAGAGTTAAAAAAAACAACTAAAAAAAAGCAAAACTAGACACAGAAATGGAGACCAAAGGCTCCAATCCTGAAATGCAAATATTGGAAATAATCTGGAATTACACTAAAATAGTTAAACAAAATTGTTTAAAACTTTCATTATTATAGAAAATATATAAAATAGAATAGCATTTCAGATTTCCTGATATAGAAAGTTTTTTTAAATAAATTCCTGCTTTTTTTAAATATTTCAGACCAAACTTAGCTTTTTAAAGATCATTATCAGAAGCAGTAACAGTGACAAAGAAGTAGTGTGTATTTGTGCTAAGAATTATTTGCAAATGCTAAAGCTATTTGCATTCAAGACTTGCATTAATGCCCATTTCCTCAGCTAGGAGGAAATGTTCTTTGAATTAGTCATGTGCATTCAAACAAACAAACAAAACTCTAACTACAGGAACCTGCTACATTTTCCAAAGCAG